GGTCCCTGGGGCTCGGGGACACGCCTGGACAAGGGAAGGGGCTGCAGCTCGCCAGGTGGGCAGAGCAGCGTGGACCCGAGTCAGCCCTGAAACCATCGGGTGAGCGGCCCGGGGCAGCCTCCCTCACAGGGCCTGGCAGCGAAGGCCTCTCCCTGCGGCCTGGGGGGCGTGGGGTGGACCCCACATCCCCAGTAGGAGGTGTGCAGGAGGAAGCTGATCCATGATTCTCTCTCCTGGATGATTCTGTCTCTCTCTCCCTCTCCCTTCTTCTCTGAAATCAATAAAAATAAATATTTTATTAAAAAAAGAAAAAGTCAGGGCTCTCTGGGGCCGGGCTCCCTGGCAGGGGGAGGGACAGGCGAGGAGCCGTCTTGAAGGCCACGCCCCCCTTGGCCGGCCTTGGGCTTTGGCTTGGGGCTCCCGTGGAGGAGACACCCTCCTTTTTAAAAAAAAAACAATTTATTGATTTTTTACAGAGAGGAAGAGGGAGAGTTAGAAACATCGATGAGAAAGAAACACCGACCAGCTGCCTCCTGCACGTCCCCTACTGGGATATGTGCCCACAACCAAAGGTACATGCCCTTGACCGGAATCGAACCTGCAACCCTGAGTCCGGCAGGCTGACGCTCTATCCACTGAGCCAGACCTGTTAGGCTTAGTAGCTTCTTTCTGGAAACAAACGTGAGAAGAGGCTAAGGAAAGAATGTAAGGATTGACAGGCAAGAGTGCCATTTGCATCTGCTTGGAATGTATGTAGGAGCACCTGATTCCAACAGCGGGTTAATTCTCACTTACTGTCCGCAGGCCGATGCTCTATCCACTGAACCACACCGGTCAGGGCAGGAGACACCCTCTTATTGGATCCTGGCCCCCGCCTCGGCTCTTCTACGAAAACTGCCCGTCTGTGTGTCCACTGGTCTGCCTCCTCCCTGGGCCTCCTGGCGGCTGCAGGTGCCCGGGGAGGCGTCTGCTCACAGCCTTTCTACCCTAAACCAGAGACGACATGGGGTGATGTGGGGGTGGGGAGGGCTGGGGCACCGGCCACAACTGGGGACCAGGAAGAGCTTCCGGTTTTACACCAGGTCCCAGGAGGTCCCTGAGGGCCGGGGTGGGAGCCTGGGGAATGGGAGCCGCGGACAATTATCCCAGCCCAGCGGCCAGGCCTGGAATCCAGTTCCGCCCCAGGGCCCCCACCAGCCCCTCCTCTGGTCCCCTCACCCGGGGGGAGGTCTGGAACCCCTGGGAGGCCTGGGGGAGGACCCGCCACGGGCAGGCTGCCCTTGCTAGGGGGGCTGCGTTGGACCCCACAAGCTGGGTTCGGGTGGAGCTGGGTTCGGGTGGAGCTGGGTTTGGCCCAGGAAGCTCAGGGGCACCCGAGGAAGATGACCCAGGTGGCCTCACCAACACCACCGATGGCTGGTCCTGGGCCCCGGTCACCCACCAGGT